TGTCTACCAACTCTGCACCCTGGCTGTGCCAAGAATGCCCCAAAATCCAGGGTCTGGATGCCACAACAGCTCCAAGACTTCATCCTGAAGTAGGAAGATAATTCAACTGAATTCTCTCACTCCCAATCCCATCTTATGACCAAATATTAGGAGAAATCTGTCTCATAGCCCACCCAGTCCCCTCCCTCACCCCTCATGGAATCGGGGTGCTCCTGGGTGGTAGGTACATGGAGTAGCATCACTCTCAGGGCCTTGGTAAACCTAAGAAGGATAAAGGAGAACCAGGTCATTCTAAGGTATACCCTACTTAGCCTTGTATCTATACCCAGTCATCTCTCAGCCATGTGCTTGAGCCCCTTAAAACTCTCACTCACAGCATCACATCCTGGGTTCTGGCAGCTGGAACCAGTTCGAATCAGATTACTGTCAAGTCCTGGGCAAGGGAAACAGAGTCAGGAACTTATCCATACCCCTACTCAATTGCCACTTCCACTAAATTCCAGTCTATGAAGTTGATCCTGCTAAAGACCCACCTACCTGCCCCAGGTTCCTGGTCTAATTCCTTCTGTTCCAATGCCATTTCCAGGGCTTGGGATATATTTAGCGGCAGCAGCTTCAGAGGCAACTCTGACCTAAGGATTATGGGTGGTGATTTAGTTCTGACCCATTAGCTATGATTGCCAGCTCCAACACTCCCACCAATGGTAATGGAATTGAAGAAGCCTGGTGAAAGTGAGGCAGAGTTGGAGAGGTTAGGTAGCAACCCCATTGCCAATTTTCATCTCTGTGGACCTCCCAAATACCTGAACCCTAGAGAAATCCCCAACACTTCTCTTGCCCATATACTCAGTTGCTCTAAACCTCAGCTCTGCAGAACTGAGCCATATCCTCTTCCTTTTTATCTAATTGTGGACCTAATATGACTTCCAGAAGTTGCTCATATTATTCCCACAAAATTTTTCTCTGCAGTCTCCCGGCTGCCAATAATACATCTTTTTCTTGATGTGAGATTTATCTTAAAGTTATTTTCTAGAAAAAGAAAAAAGTCATTCTAACAATCCCTTTTGTTATACACTAAGGATGTATTTGTGAGGGGCTATCTACTCTGTTGATTCAGATCTCTATCCCATCATCCCATACCGCTTTAGAGGAAAGGGCATTATTTCCAGACACAAATTTCCCCTAAGGCACAGGATACACACCATCCAAACCCTGACAACTGGCCCTCCTCACATCCCTGGTCTCTAGTTCCCAGTCCTCAATGACCCAATGACCCATTAATCACTCCTAGGAAGCTGCATGAAAATAGGAAAAGTCCAGGGGCCTCCTCCTCTTTACTTGGGCCTCTCCCGGCGCAAGGTCTCTGCTGACTTTGGAATCACATTCAGAGGTTTTTGCTCCTGAAGTGAACTGCTTGTAGCAGGGCCTTCAGGTTGAGGGGCCTCAGGAAGCTTCTCAGCACAGTGTGGTCCCATAGTACAGCCCTAGTATAGATAAGGAGATAAGGATTAGGAATAGAATCCTTCTATTGGGGGCAGAATCCAAGTACGTAAATAATTTACCTTGATGTTTAAGAACTCAGAGAAATCTACAGTTCGCTTTCGGCAGCAGGACCAACCCTGATAACGAGAGACCCAGATCAGCTTAGCTTCCTAGGTATCTCTTCTGGGAAATGCTCTTGCTAACCCCCGTCACCTATTCCTCACCTTAAGTGCATCATGGAAGACTGGGACCCCAGGGTGATGGCAACAGGAATCTGTAGACATCAGCACAAGTTATCAAGGAAGGGAAGATAACTATACAAAGTATCATTTCTCACTTCTTCCCTGGGTTTATGTTTATGGTTTCTTTCCATATAATGTGGAAAAAAAAAAAAACCCAGCAAAGGCTGAAGACCACTCAGACCAATTAAACTAGGGCAGGTAGTTACTTTCCCTGCTCCTCAAACATAATGCCCCCCAGCTGACCACTCCCCAATACCCACACAGAGCCCCTGGCCAGGTCAGGATTATTTACTCACCAGGAAGGTTGGTATTAGGGTCAAAGTGCTGCCCACAGCCTTTGTTACGGCAGAGTAGAGACATGGAAGCGTTGGTAGGATTACTAAAAGGGTATTTCAAGGAGTCTGGCTGCCGAATGGGGAACACCTCTTAGTCTGGAGGCTTTTAGCTGCCTGAAGGGCCAGCTGTTTCTATCTTTAGTTCAGGAGGCGTACACCTCCTAACATGGGCAAGGGAACTTCAACTGGTCTTCCCAGCCAATAGGAAAGAGCGCAGGAGCATTTTAGCTCTGAGGCTCAGGAAAAAAGGATCAGGCAGAGTAGGGCTTGCAACTTGGGTGAGGTCAGCTCACCACTACTGAGACAGTTTTAGATTCACCATGCCAATTCCAAGCCTTGGACATAGCAGCAGCTGCTCATAAACAAATACCAATTTGGAGACCTCCCCCACCCCTAGCTCAATGAGAGTTGAGCCCATTTTCTTTCAAAGGGGCAACTTTCCTCCATCATTACTTCCATGTAGTGTCAACAGCACTAGTCCCTGCCAACCACTTGAGTCATTTTACACATCTCATCCCCACCTCATGTCTGTCTAGATTAATACTGCAATCAGTCATAAAGGATTCCCCTTATAGAGCCTACTGCTCATCACCTAAGGTAACTCTCCTCCCTCCCTTCCCCTTCAAAAACAGCACAGAAAATTAAAAGGCTTAAAATGTATTTTAATAAGTTGATGCTGCATTACTGTTCCATTTCTCAGAAAAACTCCAAATTTATCAGACAAATCAAACACGGTACACTGATGGAAAAAAATGCACAG